TTCTATGGGAAAAGATAAGATAGGAAAGAGGGTTCAGAGTGCTACATTTATAGGGTGATTTCTGCTGTGATTTTACTTTGTTTTATTTATTTTTGTTGGTTATTGAACCAGATCCTTGTGCATACTTTGCAAGCACTGACTTTTAAATAATGGGGTCAGGAGAGATTTACATCAAAGTTGACATTTGAACAAAGTCCTGAAAGAAGAACAAGACAAAGCCATCTAGTGAAAGTGACGTATGGCAGTGAACTCAATTTCTGACACTATGGGTCACAATGCCTCCTTGTAGAGTTATGAGAGTGAATGTGGGGTTGAGAGAAACTTAGCAATAATAAAAGGACTTCTGTCATAGTTAGGCTTTCTATTGCTGTGAATAGACATTATGACCATGGCAGTTTTTATAAAGGAAAGCATTTGACTGGAGGTTCTGTACAGTTTCAGAGGTTTAATCCATTATCACAGCAGGAAAGCATGGCAGTGTGCCTACAGACATGGTTCTGAAGAAGGAGCTGACCATGAGAGACCATGAGGCAACAGGAAGTAAACTGTCTACCATATCGCATAGCTTGAGCACAGGAGACTGCAAAACCTATCCCTATAGTGACACTTCCTCCAACAAGGCCAACAAAGCCACACTTCCTAATAGTGCCACTCCTGTGGAGCAATTTTCTTTTAAACTGTCAGTTTCTGAACATGCAAATATCAAAAATTAATTAAAAATCAAGTGAATATAGTTGTTTCTAGCAAGCCTCACTTATGCTGTATCAAATAGCTTCACCATAGCCTTGGTACATGGTTTGCATTGTGCTTGTCACAACACACAAGGCTAACCAATGCTACCTGAATTTTCATGACTCAGACTCCAGACTGTTTTGAATTACAGTAATTTTACTACACAAAGTTTTCTTCTGTAATAGAAACGCTTTAATTGTGGAAAATGGAAACCTTTGATATTTTCTTAGCATCATTCCTCAATACCTAAATAACAAATTAGTATATCCTTGGATTGGATTATGTTAGAATGTTGATTCTTAAAAGTGCTTGTTTGAGTTGAAGTCTTAAGTTTTATAAAATATGTAGAGAAAATGTATTTCAATTTATGTTTATTTTTTTTTCTTTTCTTTTTATTTCTGTTTATTTGGGGTTTTTTTGTTTTGTTTTTTTGTTGTTGTTTTTTCCAAGACAGGGTTTTCTTTGTAACCTTGGCTGACCTGGAACATGCTTTGTAGACCAAGCAGCCAGAACTCACACAGAAGTGCCTTCTTTTGCTTCCTGAGTGCTGGGATTAAAGGCGTGTGCTACCACTGAAGGCAGGGTAATAATGAGTTCACTAGACCCAATATAAATGATAAATGGGTGTTTTATTTGGGAACAACTTATATAGATAATAGTAAAGATGCAGTCTCTACCCTTGGATGCTCTCTATCCCCAAGTCCCCAAGAGAGTGCATACTCCCGGCTTCTCTACCTTAAAGCAGTTACATCCACACCTGAAACCATTCCCAAAGGGGTATGGCCACTAACCCAAATTTACTGGCAAGGTGAGATGCTACTACACACCACTGCCTGGCTTTTTATTGTATGTGTATGTGTGTATGTCTGTGTGAGTATATGTCACATGTGTGCATGTGGTGGGGCATATAGGTCATGGGGCATGACCCATGTCTGTGTGAGTATATGTCACATGTGTGCATGTGGTGGGGCATGAAGGTCAGAGAACAACTTGCAGGATTCAGTCCTCTCCTACTATGTGTGTGCCAGGGATCAAACTCAGGGCATTAGGCTTAGCAGTATGTGCCATTCCCTGCTAAGCAATCTTCCTTGTGGTTTTCATTTGCATTTCCCAGACCTTGGAAAATCTTTACAGATAGATTTCTATTACTCAGATTGAAAGAGAGCAATAAAACTAAGTTCAGCAGAAGATCTCTGCTACTCTGTAGCATTTTAAGGCTGGAAGATGAGTACAGATAGTAAAGCAGGAAAGCCAGGAAGAAAATGATACCCTGGAAGTTAAGTGGGGACCATGTTCAAGACAGAGAAATAGAAATTTCTGCCAGGCTAGAGATATAGTTCAATACTAGAGTACTTGCTTACCATATGGGAGTCTTTGGGTTTGATCCTTAATACCATAAGGATATATATATGTTAAATACATTAGCTATCCAAGTGTGGTAGCACACCCCTAATTTAATCCCAGCATTTATTTGGGAAACAGAGGCAGCCTGTCAAATTCTCCAAGACATTAAGTGTAATTTTTCTTTAAGACCTGATTTCTCTGTATAGCTCTGGCTGTCCTAGAACTTACTCTGTGGATCAGGCTGGCCTCAAACTCAGAAATCTGCCTCTGTGTCCCAAGTGCTGGGATTAAAGTTGTGAGCTACCACTGCCTGATCCAAGATAGTATAATTAAGATGAAAACCAAGAACTGATCATTTAAGTTAGCAACATAGAAGTCAGCAGTGACCTTTACAGGAATAATTCCATAATAGATTGGTACACACCTTTAATCCTAGCACTCACAGAAACAGATGAATCTCTGTGAGTTGGAGGCCAGCCTGGTCTACATAGTGAGTTTCAGGACAACAAGGGCTATGTAGAGAGACCCTGTCTCAAAAAGCTTAAACAAACTAATAAATACAGGCCAGGGAGGTGGTTCAGTGGGTCAAGGCTTGGGGCACAATCATGATCCCCTGAATTCCGTCACCACATAAAAGCCAGGTGTGTTGGCTCACATCTACAGTCACAGCTCCAGCATTGCTAAGGTGAGAAGAGTGAAGAAATCTATGAATGCAGTTCAGCAATAGTAATAACAAGAGAGACCCTGCCCCTGAAACAAGGTAGAAGGCAAGAACAGCTTACGAGTTCACTGGCAAAGCAAGATGCCACTACCCACAGGAATTTGTCCCTTGGCCTACACATATTGGTTGTCTTCTTCAATTCTTTTTCAAACTTTTTTCAGAGGTAGTTGCTCTCAGAACCTGGAGTTCATTGATTTAACGGGCTGGTTTGGTCTTTATTTCCACTCCCCTACTGACCCATCCTCCGACCTCCTCTACTGTGAATTTTTTCATTTTTGTTTATGAATATGATTATTATGGCTGATACTTGATATTAAGTTTATAGTCTATCAGGATACCCACCACATCTGCCTCACTGAAGGCCATGGTATATGGGCAGGACCAAACATTTGGGAAATTCTTTTTGACTTTCCCACAGCATCACTTATATATCTTGGACAGTGTGGTCAATAAAGCATAAGTACTTATGCTTCCACCAATTATAGACACATTTGAATTTTCTACTTCTTTATTATTTTTCTCTGAAACAACTGTCTAATTTGGACTATGAGGGTTTATCTTGCTTTGTTTTGTTTAGACAGAGTCTCATTATGTAGCCCTGGCTGGTCTAGAACTCACTGTGTAGAACATGTTGGCCTCAAACTCACAGAGACCAGCCTGTTTCTCTGCCTTCTGAGTGCTGGGATTAAGGATGTGTGCCCACATGCCTGCCTGCTTCCCCATCTTCCCCATCCCTGATTTTTGTTTGTTTGTTGTCATTGTTTGGTTATGTATTTGTTGTTGTTGTTTTTTTTTTTTTTTTGGACACAGTCTTGTGTAATATAGACTGTCCTCAAACTCACCATGTAGCCAATGCTGGCCTTGAACACCTCTTCCTCCTACTTCCATTAACCAAGTATTGAACTACAGTTCATGCTTGGTAAGACTCTTGGATCTAGACCTTTAGATTCTGAGAATAGATCTTTTTATTTATCTATTTTAAGATTTATTTAGTATATATACAGTGTTCTATCCACATGTATCCCTTCAGGCCAGAAGAGGACACCAAATCTCATTGCTGATGATTGTGAAGCATCATGTAGTTGCTTGGAATTGAACTCAGACCCTCAGGAAGAGTAGCTAGCTAGTGTTCTTAACCACTGACCCATCTCTGTTTTGTTTTTCCAAACAAGGTTTCCCTGTGTAACAGCCCTGGCCATCCTGGAACTCACTCTGTAGACCAGACTGGCCTCAAACTCACAGAGATCTGTCTGCTTTCTCCCTACCCCCACCCCGCGCCCCCCACTCCCGAGTGCTGGCCTTAAAGGCATGTGCCACCCCCGCCCAGCATGAAAGAATAGATCTTATGGGTGAATAAGAGTAGAAAATAGCATTCTGTTTTTGACAGTAGTTACTGGGAAAAGAACTTCTCTGGTAGTTAAGTCTGATTCAGATGCCTGTATCAAACATGTTATATAGGTTGTATATCCTGAGATATGAAACAATGAAATGAAACATCAGATTGTTTGTGCATTGCTAGAGAACTTTTCTACTGATCAATAATGGGTTCCTAACCTGTCATTGTGTAGCTAGCATAAGGGATTCCATGTCTGCATTTGAAAAACAAACAAACAAAGAAACAGACCAAAAAAAAAAAAAAAAAAAACCCAAACTCTTAGTATTCATTTAAATTTGTTTTGTGATATGACTTTTTTTGGAATCATCTTATCACTTACCTTTCTCCCTAAGCAGTTCTGGAATGCATCCAGGTGAACAGCCTTTACATGCTCATGGGTTTCAGAATAAATCATCTTCCTTCGTCTTGGAAGATAGTTATATGTACTGTTTCTGACAGAATTTCCTTAAGTCTTCCATAGCATCCATTGAGTTGAACCTAGGGTGCTGCCTAACATTTAGGAGACCTTAGACTCTTAAGACTGCCAGTGTTAAAAGAGTGGTTAGTTCCCACCTTCCAGGAGGAATGTCAGGCATCCTTTGTTTAGGAAGTTGATTCCATACAAGAAGCCAGAGATGTAAGGCAATAGACTGTGTGTACCATGTTAAAACCTGCGGAAAGCTGGAGTTATGTTATAATTGAGCATAAGCCCTCCTCATTGTGAGAAGAGCACTGTTGTCAGGATTGAGGTAAAAGCTGGGCTGTTCCTTGATCTCTTTAAAATGATAAATTCATCCTAACTAGCCTGAATTTTTTTTTATCTTTCAGTTCCCAGACATCAGTCAAGAGTCTGATTCTCCATTTGTTTTCATCTGCAAAAATCCCCAGGAAATGGTTGTGAAGTTTCCTATTAAAGGAAATCCTAAAATCTGTAAGTCACCATCTTTTAATGATCTCATTTTCTCTTGCATCTTACTTGTCTAAATTTGAAAAAATATAAAAACACTCTTGTAGTAAGTTTTTTTGTCACCTGCCAGCTCACAAATAACAAAACCTGTCTCAAAAACAAATAGGAGTATGTATGTATGTATGTACGTAAACACACATGTATATACACACACATATATAATGTAATTGATCAGTGAACTAGGCATGATATTTCAAGTTTGTAATGTCAGCATTTGGGAGACTAAGGCAGAAGTATTACAAATTTGAAGATAGCTGTACTTTATAGTAAGATTCTGTCCCAAAGCAGAACATTACAAAAAATGGCTAATTGTTAGCTGGGTGTGGTATTGCACATGTCAATAATCCCAACACTAGGGAGATTGAAGCTTGAGGAGGATCAGAAGTTCATGGTTATCATACTACATAGAGATTTCCAGGGCAGCCTGTGCTGCTACAATGAAAGCTTGTCTCAAAAAGCAAAACAAAACAAAGAGCTTTGCAGTGGTGATACATGCCTTTAATTCCAGCACTCAGGAGGCAGAGACAGGCAGATCTCTATGAGTTTGATACAAGCCTGGTCTGCAGAGTAAGTTCCCTGGACAGGATCCAAAGCTATAGAGGAACCTTGTCTGGAAGAGAAAAAGTTAATTTATTTAGATTTATGTTTATTTTGTGTGTATTGGTGTCTTGCCTGCATATATATCTGAGGATATTGGAGCCCTTGGAACTGGAGTTAGAAATAGTTGTAAGTTTTGCCATGTGGGTCCTGGGTATTGAACCTGGGTCTTCTGGAAGAGCAAGCAGTGTTTTTAACCACTGGCCATCTCTCCGACCCCCAATTTTTTTTAAAAAAAAATGACTGATGTCTTGCAAAACACATGAAAATCTCTAGGAATCGTGACTTAATACTTTTCCCCTTGTAACTTCTTTCCTATTTGTTACATGTGACTTGATATGTTTTGTTTTGTTTTATTTTGTTTTGAGGCACCCACACTATGTAGCCCAGACTGACATAGAATTCACAGTAGTTCTCCCTCACCTTAAGTGTTGAATTACAGATGTATTGTACCTTCACTATATTAGCCTCAAGTCTTTGTGGCAGCATTAAACTTATTGGGTAGCTGAGGATTACTCTGAACTCCAACCTCCTGCCTCTACCTTCAAAATGCTAAGGTGATAGGTGAGGTGTATACCCTAATGCCCAGCTTCGAAGCCACATCTTAGAAGAGTAGGCTCCAGACTGTAGAAGTGGGTCAGCTGGTAAGGATGTTCACTGACAAGCCTAAAAACTCTTATTTGATCTCCATGTAGTAGAAGTAAGGAATGAGTCCTGCAAGATCTCCCCTGACTACATGAGTACAGTGTTACATGGGCATGTATGCTACATACAAACACAATACATGTATACATGCATGCATGCATACATACAATGTAAAATAAAAGATAAGGCTTAAGGTTGCCATACTGTCTGTCCCTTCCTGTAAGAAGACTGAACTCTTTGTTTCATCAATCCTAGTTGGCTTAAGAACAGTCCTTTTGTTAGATGTTACAGATATAGAAGGTCATGGATTGTTAAATGTTCACAGTTCTGACAATAGTCTGTCTTTCTTTCTTTATTTTACATATTGTTTGCAGTTTCCTCTCCCTCCCTCCCATGCCCCTTGGCTCCCCTCCCCTCCCCTCTTCCCCAGGGAGGTTGATGCCTTCCAGGAGGAATCATCAAAGTCTGTCAAGTCATTTGGAGTAGGGCCTAGGCCCTCCCTCCTGCCTCTAGGCTAAGGGAGTATCCCTGTGGGGAATGTGCTCCCAAAGTCCTTTTGTGCACCAGGGATATATCCTGGTTCCACTGTCAGAGGTCCCTTACATTGCCCAGGCCTTCTAACTGAGCCCCATGTTCAGGGGGTCTGAGTCGGTTGGTCTAATGCTGGTTTCCCAGCTATCAGTCTGGGAGTCCATTAGCTCCCCTTGTTCAGGTCAGCTGTCTCTCTGGGTTTCTATAGCCTGGTCTTGACCCCATTTTCTTATCACTCCTCTCTCTCTGCAACTGGATTCCAGGAGTTCAGCTCAGTGTTTAGCTGTGGGTGTCTGCTTCTGTTTCCATCAGCTTCTAGTCTGGCTTTCTTAAGCAGCTCAATTGATAAAAGATATATATATATTTTTTTTTAAGTTTTTTTTTTTTTTTAAGACAGGGTTTCTCTGTGTAGTCCTCTGACTGTCCTGGAATTTGCTCTGTGGATCAGGCTGGCCTTGAACTCACAGAGATCCACCTGCCTCTGCTTCCCCAACGCTGGGATTAAAGGTGTGCACCACCACTGCCTGCAATAAAAGAATTTTTGACTGGGAATGACCTAGAAATCCTTGTTCTCTGGCATCTGGATGTCTTTTCCACCTTATTTTTTGAGATAGGATCTTTCATTGAACCTGGTACTTGCCATTTTGTCTAGACTAGTTGGCTGGTGATTCCATGGCATTCACCTATATCAGCTCCCCAGCACTGGGATTACAGATGTGTGCCACCATGACGGTTTTTTATATGGGTACTGGGGATATGATCTCAGGTCCTCATGTTTGCACAACAAGCATTTTACCCATTGAGCCACCTCAGCTATTATTTATAGGTTTCAATCCATAGACTCAGCCAACCAAAAATTAAAAATAATTTGGGGAAAATATTTTATTTATACAAACATAAGCAGTTTTTTTTTTCTCCTTGTCATTATTTCCTAAGCAATAAAGTATAACAACTGTTTCAAGTCAAGTTGCACAAATGTGTAATCTTAGTACTTGGGACATGGAGGTAGAAGGTTCTTCAGCAGCTCAGGCACATCCTCACCTATGTAGCAAGTTAGAGACCAGTTTTAGCTGTGTGAGATATTTTCTTAAAACAACAAAAACCAGGGCTAGAGAGATAGTTCCATGGTTCATAGTTTGTCCTGTTTTTGGGTTTTCTTCTTTTGTTAAGTATTATTTTTATTTTATGTGCGTTAGTATTTCCCCTGCATGTAAGTCTATGTGAAGGTGTCAGATCACCTGGAATTACAGTTATAGACAGCTATGAGCTGTTGTCATGTGGGTGCAGGGAATTGAACCCAGTTACTCCTGGGAGAGCAGCCAGAGCTCTTAACTGATGAGCCATCTCTCCAGCCCTCTTTTTTGTTTTTTGAGCCTGGGTTTCTCTGTGTAGTCCTGGCTGTCCTAGAACTTGCTCTGTAGACCAGGCAGGCCTGGAACTCAAGCCTGCTGCCTCTATCTCCCGATTGCTGGGATTAAAGGTGCGTAGCACCACCTCCTGGCTGAAGTAAGAGCTCTTGCTGCTCTTGCAGGGTATAGAGATTCCATTCCTAGCACCCACATGACAGCTCAAAACTGTCTGTAACTCTAGTTCTAGGGGATCTGACACTTTGTTGTGGACTTTGTGGGTACCAGGCACACATATGGTACACATGCATTCACATAGGCAAAAAACGCTCACATAAAATAGATTAGTTGATTAAATGATTTAGTATATTTAGTAGACTTAGCATGGTACCTAGTCTATAGAAAGCACATGTTAGCTATAATCTTCTTAACTCTGTGAGTTAGTAGATTTTCCCCCACAGCTTTTGATTTTATAGTTGAGTAAACAGGTTTAGGGAAGTTGTGAGTATTTGGGTTGGTTTTTTTTTTTTTTTTAATTGTTTCTGTTTGTTTGGTTTAAGCCTATAGCACTAGGTATTCCCAGGTGGTCTCCCATCCAAATACTAACCAGCCCTGACCCTGCTTAGTTTCCAAGATCAGAAGAGATTGGGAATGTTCAGGGTAGTATGGCTGGAGATGGTTTGGGTATTTTGGGGTAGGGTCTCTAGAGTATTACTGTGTAGTCTAGATTGATCTTGGATGCATTGTATAACCTAGACTGACCTTGAACTCAAGGCCTCCCTGCCTTGATCTCCTGAAAGTTAGGCTTGTAGATGTGAGACACGCATACCCAACTAATAAATTGTATTTTTATTATTTATCTTTCTGATTGTTCTTCTGTTCCTTGTACTTTATCAGATTGTCTCAGGAACAAATTTTCAATTTATATTTCATTTTCAGGACACAATATCATGGTAAAAAGGGTCTTTTCTTCTTTTAGTTGAAAAAAACAATGAGGATAGAAATGACTAGGTATCATCCTCATCATTACACAGCTAAAGGAAATCTGAGGAACAAGCCAAAGCAATGAGTCTTCAAACCTATAGCAATACCAAGAACATATCTTGTCCTAAAAGCCCCAAGAAGACTTGATACTTGTACCTCAGTACTAACACTTTATCTGCTGGTTTGGGTTACTTAGTAGTCTGTTATACTGAGTATTTAAAATTTGTATTATTTGCCATTGTTTGTTTTCTATGCTTGTTTGTTTTGTTTTTGAGACATGGTGTCATATGATCCAGGTTGGCCTTTAATTCACTGTGTAGCTGAGTCTGGCATTGAACTGTTTTTCTGTTTCCACCTCCTGTTTAATTTACTTGATAAAAGTTTTTATTTAACATCTACCAATTGACTTGTCACTTCAGTACTATGAGGAAGACAAAAGAAAATGTGTCTTGCAATACGGCTGTTTGCTAGCTTGCTGTCAAGTTCACATTCCCAGATAGGCAGCCTATAGGATGAAAGAACTCCTAAATTACCAGGGATGCCCATATTCTAAATTAAAATCAACAGTGTTGTGATCATTATGGACAGCATTTGGGTAACAGAGAAAAAGGTGTACTGCTATTCTAAAAGCGGGTCCAGCCCTGAAACACTAGGGGAAGGGGCCTAAAAAAATACCATGTTTTTCCTCCAGGATCCTTGTGCCGTGGTCACAACTTGTATTCTTATCTTAATTGGACAAATGAGGCCATTGAAATCTAGAGAGGTTGAGTGACTTGCCCCGTTCATACAGGTATTTACTAGCTTCTAGTGAGTGTTCTTTTTGTCACATCAGATTACTCAACAAGTGAAAAGGACAACATCTGGGTGGCAGTGGTGTTCTGGGTCTGTGCCCACAGTATATCAGGCTGTCCTGTATCCAGGACTCTTTATTTTATATTTTTTAGTGCTAAAACTTAATTGAAGTATTTTCTGTTCTTAGCATTTGAATCACCATAGACTCAAATGAGGCCTTTTGTGGGAGAAAAGAAATCAGCAACTGGCACTGAATTAAGCTGTATTCTGGTAGATTGAGGAGTCAGTTCAAAGATCACATCATTGAAGGATTTCTTATTTGGATCACTTGAGACATGAGAGGGCTTTGTTTTTTTTTTTTTTTTTTTGAAGCAGAGGCATACGATGTAGCCCTGACTGGTCAAGAACTTGCTTTGTAGACCAACCTGGTCTGGAATATACAAAATCCTCCTGCCTCTGCCTCCAGAGTACAGATTCTAACAAAAACCATGACACCTGGCTGTTTTGCTTTTTCTTCTAAATTTAACACTCAGGAGAGCTATATAATCTATGACCTTTACCCCCTTTAGCTGGTGATAGGGACCCTTTGTCAGGGAAGCATTTGTGTGGATTCTACTTCACTGTTTCAGGTCAATTCCCCTATTAAGTATGAGGCAGCAAAAGGGTGAGTTGAACTGCTTTTCCCACTGTGAGGGAGGTTCATCCTTTGTACTCAGCTAGTTAACAGGTCAGTGGAATGGGTTTCCCACTGTGTGAAGTACATTTCTTTGTGGCATGCCCCTATTCTTTCTTCTTCTCTTGTTTTGTCTCTGTTTATCTACATGTCTGTATTCTTTTTTTAATTGTTTTTCTTAGTAAAGTACAAAATTAGATATATTATTCTTTAAATGTGTGTGTGTGTGTGTGTGTGTGTAAGGCATTCCCACCTTTTTCTTCTTAGAAAATAAAACTGAAGTTTGGAAGTGTCAGGCATCCTGAAGCAAAATAATTGAATGTGACAGGAACATAGTAACCAGAAGATGTAGGAGGCCAGGAAAGATTTGCAATGCAAATATAAAAATAAATAATGAGTGAGACTTCTTTTTTCTCTTACAGGGAAACTGGATTCCAAGATCCATCAAGGAGCAAAGAAGGGGTTAATGAAGCAGAATAAAGCTGTCTGACCCAGGAAAAAAAGGAACTGTATAGCATAGTGAAGTCTTGTGTACTAAATTGCTATCCGCTGGTCCTTTGTAATTGAAGCAGTAGAAAGCTAAAGGCTTGACATGACACCAGGCTTCAATCTCTGAGAATTTAAACTTATACCAAATCTGTATATTTTTGTTACATGGTGGGATTCTTCATGTATTGGGCCAAAAATCTTTGAATACATTATTTATAAAAACTCATTTTAAAGATTCTGGGTCTTCGATATTTTTCTCGGAACCAAATTCAAAAGAGAAAGGAACAAATTGGAAATTATTTTCCTTTGTGAGATTTGTATTTGTATTTAGGGAAATCTTAATCTAGGTTAATAATTTTACAAGTGACCCTTTGAATTTAAAAGTTTTTCTAAAAATAATAGAATAGGAAATATTAGGATGTTTCAAGAATCTTTAATGTAAGTCTATGGTGACTTGAGATTTTCTGCTGTTGACATGTTGAGACCAGGTGTGACCCAGGCTTGCCTGGAACTCACAGCAATCCTACTGCCTAAGTCCTTTAAGTGTCATGTTTACAGACCAAAACCACTATGCCCAGCTTCTCTTGAAGTGAAAAGCTAGAATTACCATTCTTAGCAGATTATTTTTTTTGGAAAAAAAAATAACATGACTATTACTGTTGTTATTATTATTTTTATTTTGAAGAAGATAACATGAAAACATACTTCCATTTGTCCTTTAGTTTGAGAAGTCAGGACAAGAATAGATTAGATTGGGAAGGGGAGTGACCAAGCCACCTGCTAAGGCAGGCTTAAGCTGGTGTTGCAAAAGCCTCAGGTAGATGGGACAATTAGAGAAAAATTAAAAAATACATTTCTCTCAATAAATATACCTAAAGCCCTCTAATATTGAAAGCAAGGCTTTTTATATTATCAATAGCCTAAAAAGCTATGACTGGAAAAGTAAGGTTTGGTTTCAAGTGAGAGTGTGCACTGGTCCCTTTAGTCCTTCCTGGGAAGCACTTGTTTATGAGGCTTTTCTGAAGTACCATTGGAATCTCAGTTGCTGGATCCTAGAAAATTCATGGTCTTAAATGTGTATGCTCTGCTTTTTATAAAACACCACTACCATTCTGGGGATGTTGGACTCCCTCCAGCAGTTTATGTGTTTGATTTAAAAAAGAAAGAGTGAGTGAAGAGGGGGAAAAGTACCTTGTGTTATGAAAAAGATTAATTTCCCTTTCTTTAATCCTTCATATTCAGCATTTATTTGCATTGAAATGCCTCTACTCATTACACATTGATGTTCACTCAACTGTGAACTTTGCTTGTTGCATAGCATTGGTTCTGCAGAGCCCCATGACTCTGGATTCCCAAGGAAAACTGAACAGATTCTTGTTCCAATGATGCACACATGCAGTGTTCTCTCTCTTGTTCTGTTGGACCTCTGTGGAGAAAGTGGAAGAGGACAGTGAATAGCATTTATTAAGGTGGGGGTGTCTTTTTGGCCTCTGGCAAACCCTACCATTATTGATGGCATCACTGTGTTCACTAGGCAGTTAATAGTTTACCAAGCAGTGGCACCTTGAATTCTTGTTGACGTTGTCTGGCTTTCTTAATACCAAAATAAAGCTGAAAGGTAGGAGGGAGAAAGAGGAAATTTTCTCTGCTTTTTTATTTGAAGACAGCCTTACACAGAAAAATCTGTACTGATTTTTGTATGTGGATAATGTGTATGCGTACCTCAAAACAAACAAAATCAGAAGCTTGGACAAATCAGGTCATCAGCTTTGCAGCTTTGCAAGTTTTCCTTTTCATGGTTAGGCTGGGAAAGTCTGTCTTTAGTTCATGTGGTAGTGGTAGTACAAGGTCTATCTTCTATTTGCTGAAACACCAGGGAGGAAGTGTGGAGAAGCTTACAGGTAGATGGCCCTTGGTTGCTCACTGATGAGAATAGTGTAATTTAAAGTCTAATGGAAATTCTAAGTAGCTTAACTCTGACCCTGTAACTCTAGGGTAGTTTGGCCTCGGGAAGTTTTGAGATTCTGAGTTTGTTTTCTGTTGAAGCTTCTATTTGTATTCCCTTTTGAATGACTGAATTCAGTTATTAATTTGCATGGTAAAGGAATTTGTATTTTTGTTTTTCAGACAGTACTCAGTTTCCTTTATATGAGCTCACTGTAGGTATGTTTGAAATTGGGGACTTTGTCTGATTTAATAAGGTCTTATCTTTGGTGATGTGTTTAGAATAGATTAAGAATCTGGCCAGGTGTGGTGGTGGTGGTGGTGGTGGTGGTGGTGGTGTAGTACACCTTTAATCCCAGCATTCCGGAGAATGAAGCAGGTCAGCCAGAGAGAGATACATAGTGAGAGCCTGTCCCACAGCAAAAAAAGAAAAAGAATTTGGGTTTTTTACTTTTGCTTCCTAATTTAATATAGAGAAAGGACAAAGTGTTCTGTCTTTTCTTTTTAGTCTGGAATTTTATTGGAGACCCATTTTTTTCCTTAAGTGAAAATGTAAGAAATTTCAGATTATTTCTATAAATAATTATAGTTATGGGCTTCTGTGAGTTATGGCACTTAATCTCTTTCCATTTTAAATACTGTTTCACTGCCTATTCTTATGGTGGTCATTTAATTTGGTAAATTTGTTTAATGCCTTGGAAGGCCTAGCCAAGATTAAATGACATGGGCCTGTTCACTTGGCCAGCTCATCTACTGAACTAGAGAGACCATTGAGCTCTCCAGACCTGGAAGAGGGAAGCAGTCCAGTGATAAAGGGTTTGTTTGTTTGTTTGTTTGTTTGTTTTTCCTTGAGATTTAAATAGCAAGCACATATCTGCTGTTCTCAGTTTCTGTGAATGTGTTTGAGAAGAGGTGGTCCAAGTCACAGGATCCAACAGCAACAAGGGATCCAGCCTGCAGAGAACTTTTCTACTTTCCACCTGCAGAGAAGAAAGAATATAGCCACAGTGCCATCCTGTCACAAAGAACTTGTATAAATGTGAAATACGAACTGATCAGATGTTGAATTTCAGTTGTGAAGATGGGATAGCCCAGAAAGAAATCCCAGTAAAAACACCCTAGTTTGGAGTCAGGAAAAAGAAAAAAAAAAGAGGGAGGGAGGGAAGGGTTGCCTAAGCCCACAGAGAGATGTGTCAGGAGAGAATGATACATCATGAGGAGAAAAGCATATCAGTTCATAAGACTTAGGAACAATATAGTCAGGCATGGTGGTTGCATGCCTTTAATCCTAGCATTTGGAAGGCAGAAGCAGGTGGATCTCTAGGGTTGTGCTGTCTTATATGGCCACCACAGGCCACAGGCTGTTTAAGTTTGAATTAAATTACAAGTAAAGATTGAAGATTCAGTTCTTCAGTCCCTGTACTTCAAGTGCCCAAGTAGCCTACATGTGGCTAGTGACTTCTGAACTGAACAGCAGGGGGCAGGAGTTAGCAAAGTCATTCAGTAAAGGGTCAGATAGCAAATTACTTAGCTTTTATAAACCATTCAGCTGTGCCGTTGTACTGCAAACACATCCACAGATAATGTGACTATGTAAGCTTGGCTACCTACATCCAGTAAAATCTTTTCATGAGTTTTTGTTTGGAGACACTTTTTTTATTTTTTTTTTAAAGACAGTCGCTCTGTGTATCATACATCAAGCCCAGACTAGTCTTGAATTTTAGATCTCTAGCCTCAAGCTCCCAAGTGCTGGAGTTTGTACCACCACACCCAGATTCATATAGTTTTTTTTAATTGTAAAATATCTTATTTTGTTTATTACTTAACTATTTAAAAACATAAAAACTAATTTTTTAGCTAACAGGATTTACCAAACAGATGGTGGTGAATCTGACTTGTTCTGTGGGACAGTTTGCCAATATTTGCTCTACAGACACAAGTTAATACTTAAGACTCTCTTGCTGTTTATTACAGCAGATCCGTTGACATTTTTTCACTAAGGCTTTCAGGTTTGAGTGCTTGCTCTGACTAGAAGCTAAGTAGATCTTCCCCCACCACCACTGTTTTACTTTAGTTCTACAATACTTAACAATTAAATCACAGAACTATAAAATACTAAACCTTTCTTTTTTCTCTCTCTGCTAAATAAAACCTCATTTGTAACATCATAAAGATTAGAAATTCTTCTGTCACCCAAAGTCAGTTCTGTCCTTTTACTGTCCAAGAACAATGTGAATATTGATGAACCAAAAGGGAATTACTTTTTCCTAGGCTAGACAGAGTGTCAGCCCTCCCACCCTCCTTTCCTTTTCGTGAAGACTGAGATGGAGAGTAAAGGGACTTTATGGCCCACTTGCCTCTAAGTCACATGGTATTTTGAATGGCACTATTGAAGGGTGCCTTAGAATAAGAGAATGAGAGGTAACTGCACAGCTGAAGAGTCAAGGACACAGGAAGGACATGGTGGAGTTCAAGTAGGGGGTTTTTGAGAATGAAGATAAACTTTGGTTTGCAATGGCATGAGGTGGAAATCTTAGGTCATGAAGACTGCTTTGTAAGCAGCTGATAGGAGGGTTCGATCACACATGGATAGAGCCTACTGTGTGCTGGGCAATCTAAAATGGATAACAGATTACAACAGTCAATAGTTAGAGATAGAATGGTGGGTTGGAGGGCAGGGAAGGACTCAAGATAAAATGCAGTAAGATTTACTGATACTGGATGGTGAGATGGAAAGGCACAGGGTTTTTAAATGGACATTGTGTAGAGGAAAACAAATGGGAGGAAAAGAAAACAATCCTGACAACAATGGCTTAAAAAAAAAAAAATGTGGGCCATTGAGATGGCTCAGTGGATAAATTTGATCCTTGAAACCAAACGGTGGAAGGAAATAATTGACTCCCATAAATTGTCCGCTGACCAGCATACGTGCGTCACGATTCGTTCCCTCTCCCCCCCCCATAAATTCTTTCTTAAAATAGTTTGTCGAACTAAGAGGAAAACGTATGAAACTATCAAGAGCTGTGTACTTGTCTTCTGTTGTTTTTGGATATTCATGATCAGACCCCGTGGTCTCTCTTTCCATGGTTGAAGGAAACGCTTCTCCAGATACTTCTCAGTGTGAAAGTCTGATCCAGCGAGAGTTCTTTGCACGAGAAGGGAGCACTAAGTTCAAGCTCTCCAGCCTGGGCTTCTGAACTTATCTTAGTTTCAACCCGCCCACCGGGTTTTCCAGCATTTGCTCAGGACCCGCGGCAACCGCGCATTTACCCAGGATTTGGCGCCGGCATCCGGGTTCCGGGTTTCCTCGCGTACTCGCCAGTTCCAGACTCCTCGGCGCACGGAATCCGGATCCGAGAGCACGAGAGTCCAGTGTCCGGGTCTTCCGGGCTGCCCTGGTTGTCCCGGATCGCGGCGGCGGCGGCGGCGGCGGCGGCGGCGGCGACTGAGGGACCCGCGGCCCCGGACACAGCGGCCTCGGCCAGGCGGGGCGGAGCGGCGCGGGGAGGGGCGGAGAGCCGGGGCGGGGAGGGGGAGGGGCCGCGGCCCGGATGGCGGCCCGGGACGCGTAGCAGTGGCGGCTCTGCGGCCCGGGGCCCCGGGCGGGCGGAGGTGGCGGCTCCCGGGACCGGCCGCGCGGTGAGTCCTAAGCTTTGTGTGGAGCTGGGGCTGGGAGGGGGGAGGCGACGCTGAGGAAGGCCCGGCGCCGAGGGGCGCGGAGGGCGCCGGGGCAGCGGCGCCGGCCGGAGGAAGTGGGGGTTGGGGGGGCCGGGGCGGAGCGAGGAGGTGTGTGCGGGGGGGAAGCGGGGTCGTTGCGTGGGTGGGGGAGGGGGCCCGAGGTGAAGTTCAAAGCGTGGCCCGGGCGGTTCGGGCTGGGGGTGACGGTGCCCGGGATAGCCTCTGGTCTGACCAGGTGGTAGGGGCAGGCCAGAGAGTTTTCTGAGGCTCTGCTGAGGGGGCCCCAGGCGACTGGGGTTCGCCAGGGACTCAGGGGAGCGTGGGGAGCGGAGGGTTGAAAGCAGGACGTGTGCGCGGCCCGGGAAGGAGAGCAAGGTGGCTGGGAGCGTGCAGTCAGTAGGTTGTGGGTGTGTGCCCCTTTCCCAGTCTTAGGTCACATTTACTCCTGTTCTTTTCTTCAAGATGGAGGGCTCTCTGGGCCTGGACTTTAAACTGCTGTCCCTGTACCCCCCGGAGGGTTTGAGACCCTGTCCTGTTTGGAAAACCCATGCTGCCCTCTTTTCCCTTTATGTGTAATTACGGTTGGATCATCTCTGTGCTTCGCTCAGATTCTCCTTCCTCCCTCTGGGGTTGAGGAGGAGGAGACACATCTGACCAATTAATGTGTGTTTGTGAAACAGGCAGCGGCAAACAGTCATTTCAGCTTCTAGGAATTAGGCTCACACAGGGTGGAGAGAGCAGAGCCCTTCAGGGGGAATGTTTCTGAACAAATCACAGATGATTAAATTCTCTCAGAAACCGCTTCCTACCCAAATGAAAGTGGGAAAGATGGGGGGGGGGGGAGAGCCAGGTTCCAGCCATGTGTCCAGAGCCCCAGGGGCTGAGGAGAGTCCCTAAGCCCTCACAGGCCTCTCTTTTCTGTATTAGGCTTTGCTCTGCAGCCTTGAGTTAATTTCACCCCTGCTGCTTTGTCTTGGGGGAGGGAGTGCTGGTTTAGGCTGTCGTGAGGAGATGACTGTTCTGCTGCTACACAATAGTCGTGTCATTTTATCGGGAGTGCTACCCCAGGGCTGAGAACTGTTGCAGCAGAGATAAACCGGTCTCTCTCACCCGCCTATTGTGTACACAGTGAAGGTCATAGGTTCAAGTCTTGTCTGAGAGCTTTGGATATGCTCCATCTCCCAGGCTCCACAGTGCCATTTTCTTCTTTTTCCAGACTGGGGCTTGCCATTGGAGGAGGCCAGACAGAAAGAAAGGCTCTTCTTTTTGAGTGAGGAACAATGCATAGCTCACTGGCACACATTTTTCCCAAAGAATAGAGGATGCCAGCCATGTTGTGCTTGCCTCTGGTTAGCCTGTTACTAAGTTGTGAAGGAATAGCATCTGGGATGCGCCACCCTCATGCTTTGTGGCCGACCTTTGACGAAAAAGACTGCAAGGAGAGGCTTCTATACTTACATAAAACATCATACTTAAGTGTTTCTGTATAGAAATGGGACACTTATGCAATGATTTTTGTTTGTTCTCTTAGGAAAACCACTGTAGATCAGTTAGGAGTAAGATTGGCAAGTGCCCCCCAGCCCCTTATAGGGAGTCATTAGTTGCTCCGGCTGGCCCCTGGCACAAAATCCTTCTGCCTGGGCCTCCATATTGCAGTCATGCACCTATGCCCTGCATCCAAGTACCTTTTTAAATGATGACTTCCTGGTCGATAATTACATAACAAAAAAGCCATCCAATTTGCCTAAGACAGACTTTGAAAACAAAACTTTCCCTTTACAATTCACTTCTTAATGAAAGAAGATGAACCAGGTATTGTAGAGAAAAATTTACCACAGAGAGGAACTGTTAAAAATATCATTTGGATCTAGGGGCTTTAGAGAGAAGGGTGGGAAGAAACTTCCCCAGAAGAATCATATCCTTGACTGTTCATGAAAGTCTTCAAGCATTATTCTGGCACAATTGTGTGTGTAGCAACTGTAGGATTAGTGTGTATATAGTATGTATGTATATCAATTATAACATATATATGTGTATACACCCCCCCACCAATATTTTGGGCTAGAAAAGAGGCTTTTAATGTAAGACCTTAAAGAAAACTTAAAAGATTAGAAATAAGATTCATTGTAAAGGTGATTGTATTCAATATGTAGTGTACGCATAGCTACCCAACCATTTTCCATAGTTTATCATTAAATAGGAACTTTAGCCTTTGGTTTTGGTGAGTGTTAAATTGGTCTCTCCTTCCCTCATTCCTTATTTAATAATGATGGCCTGCCACTTTTATGTTGGGACTTTGATACGAGAGAACAGGTTTGTTTTGACACTATTTTATTTTGGTTTTTCTAGACGGGTGTTTCTGTCTGTGTAGCCTTGACTGTCCTGGAACTGGCTCTGTAGACCAGGCTGGCCTCAAACTCAAAAATTTTCCTTCCTCTGCCCTGAGTGCTGAGATTAAAGGCATGTGCCACCACCTTTTGGCTGCACTTAATTTTTTGGATAGTATAATTGTCTTTAAGTCTTACCCAAAGTGTTGTCTGCCCTTAGGCTATTTCTAACTATATATCCTTGGCTTCCTAGTGTGCCTAGTTAAACTGAATTCAGGGATTCTTCTTCGGCTGTTGGTTTTGTTTTCCTGAGTGTTGTTGGGTGCAAGTGAAGGCAGAGCTTCACATTAAACTTGCCTTGATTAGATTCAGAATTGGACTCTTGCTGCCAGGAATCTTACATGAATCTTTTGAGTATGATCATCTCTTAGGCAATATTGTGAATATCTTTCAGAGGTCACTTTGAATTCTTCCCCTCCAGCTATCTAGACCTTGTGAGAGGTCTAGATAGCTGGACACATTAGTGCTTGTGTGTGGTTATGGAAGTATAATTTTGGCTTCTGGTAGTAATATGTTGCATTTAACATATAGCAACTAAATGGCTGGAACAAGATAATTTGGTGAGGAAACTACTGGTGTTGTTAAATGGAAGTGCCAATCATTAATCATTTGACACTCAGCACTTGTGCCTGAGCTCAGGCATGGAGGATATATACATAACAGGAGTATTTGTTCTCCAGCAGTTGCCTGTCTGCTTCCCCTCTCTATTTCTTTGCCAGGTATTTTAGAAAGACAGCTAAGCAATTCTTATTTTCATTGTGGAAAACCAGCCAGGATGGGACTGATGCCAGGCATGTGAAGCCACACTGAAATAAGGTAGCCTTTGGTTGTGTGGCAAGTTTTCTTTTCAGTAACTTAATTCTCATGTCTATTTTATTATTTTTAAAGCATTTTCCATTTTAAAAATAAAACAGCAACAATGAAAAATGAATGAAATACAAAAACTACAGTGTGCTAAATAATGCCCTCATATTACCTCTCTAATAAAAGTTGGCTGTGACAAGCAAAATGAAGATGGGTGATGCTGATTGGCAGGTTCTGGGTCCACTAAGTGTCAGTGAAGGACTCTCTTCACTAGAGAACAGGTAATTCACGGAAGCACCTGCCTAGCAAAACATGTGGCATTGGCAGCAGCTGTGCAGCTGAAGAGGGATTATTGAGCAGGTGGCTGAAGAATCACATGCCACAGTGACAAGAAAATACTCAGTCCTGTGTGGTTTAGGCTCCGCGCACATGTGTGAAATTGCACTTTGTTTCACATCTCTTAATGCCTATTGTTGATTTGTGAGTGAGATGGTAATGGAATAGAGAAGAGATTCTTTTCTGGCCCTTCACAGCCCCATTGTACTTCTGGAAGTTCAGGCTTTATGCCTCATGAAAGGGAAGGAAATAGTGGTAATTCAGTGCTTCTAGGACTTGTTTATTAGAAGGAAATGGGAAACAGAACATTCTTTGCTTTTTTGATGATGAAAAGCTTTAGCCCACTGAGAGGATCCCCAGCTGGTTTTATGCGAAGGGCGCAATTGACTTTGCTGAGCTACATCCATCTGAAGCTCCTTACCCAAGAAATTTGCATGCTTTTATTTTACAAATGCCATTTCCTCCATGAAGTTTGCATTTCTTCAGTTTGCCTTCTTTAATTTTTAGGGTATTCCCCCCCCCCCCCCCCCAGTTACCTTTATAACTTTTTTCTGATCTTCCTAACATCACTTTTTAAAACTAAATTATCACCAGGGGACAAATGACGTTAAAGAATTATTTCTATTAAATATTCACTTTTAAAAACAATAAAAGCAACTATTTTGTTTCCTATGACCTGGAATAATAGTTTATATTTTGAGGATTTCTGAAAATTCATAGATTTCTCTTTAGATTGGTATTACCATCTTCCATTAATAGGATTTCCTTTTTCCATGTTCATTGAGCTATTTGCTCTCTCATCTCATTTGAGATAGTGTCTTGCTATGTAACCCGGGCTGGCCATGAACTTGTGACCCTCTTGTTAACTCAAGAGTTTCTTCAACCTCCCAAAGACTGGGATTACAGGCATACACCACCATCCTTGGGCCCACTAAAATTATGAACAAGTAACTTTATGTGTATTTTGTAATTATTTTCCATAGTTATGTCACAGGCTGCTTGGGCCTTCTCTTGTCATGCATACATACCCAGAAATGGGTATGTCCAGTAGAATTCACAGTATATTGGTCAACAGTTAATTGAAAGGAAGAAACTCTGTTAACTGTTTTAAAGTCCAGATGACTTTCTCGGGGTGGGAGTGGGGGCAGAGGATTACCTTCTTCCATCCTGTGGGATCTTGGGATTGAATTCAGATTGTAGACATGGAGAGGCAAGCACTATCATGGGTTTTGTTTTATTTGAATTGTTCATAAAGCACCATGTCCTCACCTGTCATTCTCAGTGCTTTGATTCCTGTGCTGTTCTTCCTCACTCATCACTCATCCCCGTTCTTTGCTCTGAAGACTTCTCCAGCAGTGTGGAAACACTAATTACAGTCCAATTATAGTCACAATCCAAATCCTCCACCTCCTTCCCTCTCACCTGTCTTCCTCC